CTCTTTTCCCCCCCTTTCCATACTGTCCTCTTTGGAAGGAAGTCACCAAGTACAGCCCGCACTTAAGGAGCTGGGGGGTTGGGTTGGGGGGTGATGCTTCACCTCTTTGAGTGGCCTGTTCTTTGCTGGTTGCATTGGAGAAGAAGGTTCCAGAGAGTAGGAAACACTCAGCAATCTGAGAAAAAGGAGTTGAAGGCTGGATTCATTGCTGGGTGAAGGGATGAGTGGACAGAATTATTGGGAGATGAAAGAGAGGGTGGGATTGAGGATGATGGCAAGGTTCCCAGCGTCGGTGATTAGGGGATTGTCTGGGTGTAAGGAGCAATGCATTAGTTTACTGCCCGACTCTTTATTTCTTGGCTGTGTCACCCTGCGTGAGTCACTTTGTTCCTCTGAGTCTCAGTTTGGCCATTTGTAAAATAGAGTTACCAGTCCCTGTTCTTCCTATTTTGTGGAGCTCTGGTGAGAGTGAAATGAGATAACACAGAGGTAAGGGCTTTGAAAGCCGCCAGGCACACAGCGCCGTGTAGTTTCTCAGGCTGGTTAAGGGAGTGCTGGTGCTATTGAGAGGGAAGGGTACTTGGGAGGGGGGATTTGTTCCCTGGTTGAGTCTGAATATTTCAGATAACCCCGGACAAGTTCTAACTCACACTGAGTACACCATCACAGGTTGTGATAGTCCCCTGCTAAGGAGATTTTTATCCCAAATATGCTTCCTCAGATATTCTTTTTCTGATGGTCTAGATCCACGGTCTGTCCCCCAGATGGAGATAGCTTGGGCAAGACGAGGCTGGTTCTGAATTAGAAGGAGGGGCTCTGCCTGTTCTTTTTGGCCTTCCCCTTACAGCCTGTAATGGCCTTTGCTTGGGGGCACTGAATTTTCCTGAGATTTTCTTAAACGTCTCAATCCCCCAGTCTCCTTGCCTGAGATAGCTAATAGGCATTTCCAAAGGGGAACTTTTGATTCCTGCCCTACACTGGAGTTTCAGGGATGTGGCTAACCTGCCTTGCTTGACTGTGAAAGACCACGTGAATCTTCTCAGTTAGCCTTGCAATGGGCTGTTTTATGAGCAGCCAGAATCCCTCCGAACTGCATATATTGCAGTGGAGGAATCCCTTTACCTGTTCAGGCAAACAGACTTGTTTCTTCATATATATTTCCTCATTATTCAGGAAGTAGGCAACCATGCTTTTTGCTCTTCATTGTACTCTTCTTATTTTAGCAACAAATTGATGAGCCATGGAAAATTTTAACCATGTTTGCCCGAGTTCCAGGGTAAATGATTGACTCCTTGGTACAGTAGAAAGAGCTGGGAAGAAGGAGTGCTGAGTGTATCTCTGCTGATAACTTGCTGGTGACTTTGGGCAAGGAATGTAAACTCTCTGCCCTCAGTTTCCCTATCAGGAGAATGAGTAGGGACCACCCAAGCTCTGAAAGACGGAGCAATCAAGTAAAATATTAGCACCAGAGCCAAGGGCAATTAAGAGGAGTACAGAATTAATGTCCTCACTATATTGCAACTGACTCAGCATGTTTTAGAAAAGTAGAATTGAGCCAGTGAACATACATTTGGTATTAACCAAACTGCCAGAGGCAGTTATGTAAAATAAACCTCTTTATCAGTCTTCAAAAAGGAGAGAGATTCTTTTGTCTACACTGATTTGTGTTTGGATGAAATAAACACTGAGTCTCTTTTGGTCTTCTGATTCTGTCATTCTCTAACAAGAAAAGCCCATTTCTTCACAAGTGGGTTGTTCTGATATGTGTCTGCCGAGGCTGATGTACGATGGGAAGGTGAGTACACATGATATAGTCTCTGCTCATCTCGGGGTGAAAGCAAAGGTCATCTCTGAGCATGGAGGACTTCGCACTGTAATATATATTTCCAAAGGGAAATGCTTGCAAAATGCAGATACCGATCCCAATTCTGACCTTTGTGACTGGTGCCAGCATTTTCACTGGCACCTTTGTTCAGACAAAGGGAAAAGCCAAGAAGTGAAATGTTTTCCTTCCCTCATCGTTACTCAGCAGGGCTTGCTTGCTTAGCTATGAAAAATTCAAGTGTCAAGAGAAACTGCAGTGCAGTGTCTTATCCAAAAATGCATTCTCCCTTGGGGTCAGGAGATCCGCTGTGTGCTGATACTCTTTCTGAAGAGGATAGTCTTGTGCATGACTTTCTTCATTCTCCCTCTTCTCTGTAACTTGCTTATCCGTATTGTCTGAATTCTAAAGGTAAATAGTTCTTCAAATGTAGGATGCAGACAAATCACCTGAGAGGCTTACTGAAATGATAGATCCCCGACTCGTACGCCTAGTTCAATGGGGCCGAGGAATCTGCATTTTAAAAAATCATTTTATTGGGATTATATTGTCTTACAAGATTGTGTAAATTTCAGGTGTACATCACTATATTTCAGTTTCTGTACAGACTGCATCGCGTTCACCACCTACAGTCCAATTTTTATCCATCACGTTACATATGCGCCCCCTTACCACTTTTGCCCTCCCACGGCCCCCTTCTCCTCTGATAAACATTAATCTGTTCTCCTTATCTGTGTGTTTGCTTATCTTCCAAATATGAGTGAAATCATACGGTATTTGTCTTTCTCTGCCTGACTTATTTCCCTCAGCACAATACCTCCAAGGTCCATCCACGTTGTTGCAAATGGGACAGTTTTGTCTTTTTTATGGCTGAGTAGTATTCCATTGTGTATATATACCACATCTTTATCCATTCATCTGTTGATGGAATCTGCATTTTTAATACATGGCATAGGGGTTCTGGTTCAGCAGAGCCACCTTGAGGATTACCACCTGGGTGCCACGCCCACCTAGTGATAATTTTGCATACTCCGTGTGTGTTCCCTTTATAAACCAAGTCCTAGCTGCTGCTTTTAGCACTGTGCCTGAGCTTGACTAAATCCGTCATTGACATATAACAGTCATTGCCTGGCTTAATACAATTTCTGATTTAGCCAGATAGGGAGGGGAGGAGCATGAGCTTGGGAGTCAGAAAGACCTGGGTGTGGATCTTTGAGCGTCTGCTTACTGTTACTTGGGCAGGTTGATCAACTTCTCTGAGGCTCTATTTCTTCATCTGTCGAATGGAAACAATATTACCCACTGAGAGAGAGGGGTGGTGAGGATGGAATAAAATGACGTGTGTGTAAGCACCTAGCACTGTGCTCTTAGGAGACAGATGCTCAGTAAGTATTACTTTCCTCCATTCTTGTAGGCAGCAGGAATTAAAAAAAAAAAAAAAGCATCATATTCTCCACTAGCACTTGAAGCAGATATTGTTAAGGGAAACTTCTTTTTTAATGCCCAGGTGAGTAGATTTTTGGGCTTGTTACACATCACTTTAAAAGTCAATGGTTGCTTAGAGATCTTGAAAGGATGCCCCTCCTTAATTCCTATAGATAATGCTGACTTCTGTTGTAAGTACAGGTGCGGGGAGAGATCCCAGCAGGTAGATAAGGAAACGCAGGTGGATCACAATGTTGGTGCCTTTGCCAGATGCTCCCGGAGTCCAGCGCTGAGACCTCGGCTCAGGTGTTTAACCCGAAACTACACCTGCTCCTGGTCCACAGCTCACAAGAACCACCTTGTCTCTCAGAATTTAGCTAGTAATGGATTACTTGGACTGTCTTGTCCAAATTCTTTCCAGGCAAAATGAGAACATTACAGTGGTCTGAGAGAAACAATGAACCATTATACTCGTGGTGTACGGAATGCTCCTGGCTGCAAGGTGTTTCTAAATGGAGTTTCAGCAATATCTTCCCACATCTCCCTCCTGTCCAGCCCGGTTTTACCATTTGAGAAAAAACATCATCTTTGTTCTTTGTGTTGGTCGATTAATTTTAGGTTCACTGTTCATATCCCATATCATGCTTATGTAGTTACTTATGTAACACATTTTTATGTATCACAAAGTTCCTCCTTCTGAGGACCCAGATCAGAAAAGGAATTTAATAACAAAAAGTATCTATCTGCATTCTCTGGCTGGGAAACTGCAAGCTAAATGAGACCTTTGGTTAGCTTCAAACCACAGGTGCCCTCTCGCTGCCTTCTCCCTCAGTCCTTTGTAAAGGGGAGGCTGTAAATCTCCTTCCTGGGGCAGGGCAATCTCTGTAACTTCTGTTCTCTGAAGACCTCACTCTGGAAACTGAGAGAATAATGCCTGTAAGCCCCATCATATGATTTGAGAGACTGCAAAGAGCTTTGAAATCCTCTGATCCAACCCCTTTTGTTTTACAGGAGAGGAAGCTGAGGTTCAGAGAGATCTACATCGTTACTAACTAGTTTTTTAAAGAATTACTGCCTGCAGTGTGTGTATCAGAAACTATGCACACAACAGGAGGCTCATAATAGGCCCCCAACAGGTTAAATGAGTCGCCAAATTAAGATCAGGAATGACACTGGTAGAGCAGATGAGAAACCAGCCAGCACATACTAACTGTTAAGTAAATAAACATTTATTGAGCTCTTTTAGTACAGGAGCATTCTGCTATGTTCTGAGGAGCTCAGGGAAGGAAGGAGAAGTACAAAAGGGAAGAGGAAAAAGAACTTTAAGAAATAGTCCCCATCCTCAAGGAATTTACAGTTTGTAGTGAACTCTTCTCTGAAAGGATTGCTTTCTAAATCAAGATAAAGACATATTTATTACAAATACATATTACAAAACGCTGAACCCAATAAGATTCTATAGTTAATGACCCAATTATGTAGTCCTGGAGAAGTTTGGGAAGACAAAAGAGAAGTGCTGGCTCCCAGAGGAACAAGCCCAGTGTTTTCCCTACTGGACTATTAAAGCTACAACTTTCTTATTTATTTGTGTATCCCCATGGTTATGGCATGGGGGAAGGTGCTGAATTCATACTTATTGAATCAATGTTGGCTATTTGATACCAAAATTATGGAGATACTTATGCATGCCTATAAAGATCCCTTTTGTAGGAATGCTTTCTTCTCATGTAGTCTTTTGTTGCTTTTCTTTCAGTGGCCCACCCGCAGGACCCTCACCACCCATCCGAGAAGCCAGTCATTCACTGCCATAAATGTGGGGAGCCGTGCAAAGGTGAAGTGCTTCGGGTCCAGACCAAACATTTCCACATCAAATGTTTCACCTGCAAAGGTACGGTGCCTCCCACTTCCTGGCTTAGTGGCAAGTCACAATCGGTGCTTGCCTTGGGGTCTGCCCATCCTCTTAACTCCACACCAGGTCGCCAGATGATAAGTGAATGTGCTCAGAAGCCCTGGAATCACTTACCTTCTCTAGTTTGGGATTAGATTAGACTCAAAGGAGAGACCGAGTCCCCCCAAGACCAGTGGTACCCAGGCCTCTGAGTGTTCACTGAGGTTCCTGACCCTGGGAGCAGGGACTAATTGTGGAAGAGCAGTAAAAATTCAGTTTTATGTTTTGTCCTTTAAATTTCTTTTCCTCTGAAATGAGGGATTCCTACCCAAAAGTAACTTTGTCCCAATAGCCATTACCTATAGGAGGGCTGGAAAACCTGTAAGATTAGGGCTCTAAGTCACTGGATCCTGTGAGGTATGTACAGTCTTGTGTGTGTGTGTGTGTGTGTGTGTGTGTGTGTGTGTGTGTGTGTGTGTTGAGAACTGAGAATTAAGCAAGAATGCTTGGAAGGCCTCCAAGAAGAAAAATAACTCCCATCCAAGAAGGTACCAATTTGTGGTTGATTTCCATTAACAGTCCTCTGTTTTGGGATTTATAACTAGGCATCTTGGTATGAAATATGCTGACCTGTTATTCTGGAGCCAGGGCATGGCTGAGTGGGGAAAAAGAAGAAGAGAGTGATTTTTATGTGTTTATTTGAGAAGCAGGTTACTTGAGCTGAGGGCACATCTGTGTAGCTCAGGTTGGAGTGGAGGGAAGTAGGAAGAGAGACGGAAGACGGACAAGACTGAGCTGCGTTGTAGCTTGACTCTGCGCTGTGCACCTGGTAACCACGTTCATCCCTGGAAACCGCGTTCCATTTTGTGTTTTAGGTTGTGAACTCAGCATTGCCGTCATAAGCCATTATGTCCATAGCCAGGCAGCCTCTTAAGTAGACTCCAGGCTACCTAGTGACCCTCAAATATGTGAACAAAGGAGGCATGGGGGCTTTTCTGGACTCCACAGAGTGTAAACTTTTCAGGAGAAAGAGCACTCGCATATAGCGCGAGTGAAAAGATGGAAGGAGAAGCGAGGGCATGAGCTTAACTCCCAATGAGCATGACAGAGATTACAGACGGCTGTAAAGCACATCTTAGATAGAGAGATTCTTTAATCCTCCTGAAAACCCGTATGAGTCAGTACCATAAATCCCCAGTTTTCAGACAACCCAAGTTGGTCAGCAGGAAACATCAGGGTCACACCCAGGGTACTGACTGCACTGTTGCTCTGTGTCACTCGAGTCCTGCCATTGCCACTAAGCAGCTCTGTGATCTCAGCGAGTTACATGTATCCCTATGACTCCACATCCTTATCTACAAAATAAAGAGACTAGATCATGTGATTTTTAAATCACCCTGGGTCTGAAGTTTGCCGATTCCATACATGCATAACCATGTATGTGTATAATATAGAACCCAGAGGCACTGAAGTAAAGCCTCTTAAGTAGCGTGTCAGAGAAAAAAATGCTTTCTGGTTAGATCGATTTTGGCTACCTTGGAGTCAGGCATTATATTTTGTTTTATTTTTTTATCTTAAATTTCCTGAGACATGGCTCAAGGGGTAGGTTGAGTATGAAATAAATACAATCTATAAACAACTGTAGCCCTGTACGTATTTTATATTTGTAGTTGAAACTACACAGTGTTAGTTTCAGGTCCGGGTCATCACTGTTCAGCACATCAAGAGATTAGAAAACATGTTCGTTTATCCCCCGTGGGCTGGAAGCTTCCTTGCTTTTTTCTCTTCCAGTTTAAATCTAAGGACTGAATGTAAGTTGTCTATGTTGGAAAGTTGTACCATATATGATTTGTTTCATGCTATCAATGTATTCCTGAAAAGTTGAATTTTTGTACAAATTGGATCATATTTTTTTTTCTTTTTGTGAGGAAGATTGGCCCTGAGTTAACATCTATTGCCAATCCTCTTCTTTTAGCTTGAGAAAGATTGTCACTGAGCTAACATCTGTGCCAATGTTCCTCTATTTTGTATGTGGGATGCTGCCGCAGCATGGCTTGATGAGTGGTGTATAGGTCCATGCCCAAGATCTGAACCTGCAAACCCCAGACCTCAAACGAGGAGCATGCGAACTTAACCACTACACCACCAGGCTGGCCCCCAAATTGAATCATATTTTAAGAGCACTTCCTATTTGTAGAAATTATATTTAATTTAACAAAATTTTGCTAAAATATGTTATCTATTCTTGTAAATTTATATTTTATCACACTTAATCTGTCAATATCTACTATCTTGTGTCCCTGACTTCCTGTGGTCACCCTTTTCTTTAATATCCAAAGAAAGTGGTTTACATTCCCCATGCTTTGTATTCTAGCAAGTTCATGCCTTTTCCCCAAGATTCTAGAGAACTGTTGTCTAATAGGAATATGATAGAAGCCACATATGTAGTTCTAAACTTTCTAATAGCTATATTTAAAAGGTAAGAAAGGACAGGTGCAATTAACTTTCACATTATATTTTATTTATCCCTATATACCCAAAATATTATCATTTCAATGTAAAATTAGTATAAAAACTATTGAGATGCTTGACATTCTTTATATATAACTTTTCATTCTAGCTTAACAGCACATCTCACTTTGGACTAGTCACATTTCAGGTGCTCAATAGCCACATGTAGTTAGTGGCTACGTACAGGCCAGCACAGTTCTAGAGATTCCTTGAGGTTTGCATTCTTGTGGTCCCCTCTTGCTGCCAACTCTTGCCAGTACCAAATTCGTGGTCTCCCCTTTATGAGTGCTATGCCTTTTGCATTGCTTCACCCCACCTTGGTCACCTTTTCCGAAGTACCACCACACAAGGCAGCTGTTTTCAGCAGACTTACTGAAGGTTTAGATAATGGAAGGAATTTATAGCACAGAATAGGCAACAACTGCCCTAATATGCTCAGGCCGTCTCCGGAACAAGAAATCTGTCATTGGCCAAGGCCATTTCTTTCTTTCTTTTTTTAAATTAATAGACTTTAGTTTTCAGAGCAGTTTTAGGTTCACAGAAAAATTGAGCGGAAAGTACAGTGAGGGCCATTTCTCATACTTACTCAGAATCTCACCTGCCACTGTCTTGGTAGCACCTCCTCTCTCTACAAAGACCCTTCTCTCCATCCCAAGGACTCCAATTTCCTTCTCTACTGTCAGATCAGGACTCTAAATTTCCTTAGGGTTTTTACTTTTTACAAGTCCATTAGGATGGTTTCCCAGAAGAAACAGAAGTCTTCTCCTTGAGGAATGCTGTTTTCCCCCTAACTTAAGTGGCCCTGACTACAGCTAATTCTTAAAACAGCAGTATTGTTTTCTTTTTGTTACATATAAGTAGAGGTGCCAGGTTCCGACAGTGAGCTAATGCCCTGGGACAGAGGATTTTGGGTGGAGAGCACTTGCTACAACAAGACTGGGCTTCTGCTCAAGAGCTGGCTGAGTGCAGAGGAGAAACCTTCAGATTCTGGCTGTGATTTCGGGGCCAGCCAGAATTTCTCCCTCGAATTCTCTCCTCTCCTTCCCACCCAGTTCTCCTTCCCCATATACCATGTTGCCAAAGCCTCCCAGTTCTTGAATGGAACCAGAAGTGGCTTTCCACAATTAGGAGGAAAGCTCGTAAATGCAAATACCTGTAGGAATAAAAAGCAGAAATGAACTCTTTCACTAAGAATGGATTTTGAAAGGAGAGGGGGAAAGAGGACACTGAACATCTTACATAAGATCTAGACAAGTACAAAGGTGGGGAAGGGTTGCTGTGGAGGAATTAAAGGTCATAGCACAAACTGAAACCAATGACCAGCCCGTGACTTCATAGGTTTAGCTGTAAAAGGGTCAGGGTCGGTGAGCAGAAATTTTGTTGGTGAACTCATCTCACTTCCTGAAATTTCTGACATCTTGGCATCTGATGGTCTAGGAGTTATTTATCCAGTTAGTGAATGTTAATTGAACACAGACTCCATGCAGGATATTATGCTAAGTGCTGAGAATAGAAAGAGACAACATACCATGTTGGACCTCGAAGAACTCACGAGGTACTTGAAGAGACATAAATAAGCAACGTTTATGATACTGAGTAATAAGTGCTGTGTTGGAGAGATACATAGGATGCAGACTGGAGGCAGGGAGACTCATGGGGCAGGTATAATGGTGGTCCAGGTGGAAATAATGTGAGGTAGCAGCAGATGTGGTAGAGAATAAGGGACAGATTTAAGAGCCATTTAAAGTTAAGGTTGATAGGATTTGAGGACTGATTTTACGTGAGGAGTGAAGACGAATCCAGGTTTCCAGTTGGACTGCCTGGTTAGACAAATGGTTGCCGCTAACTAAGGAATTACAGGAGCACTTAATAGTGTTCAGTCTGGGATCCACTGAGGCTGAGTACACATGGTCCATCCAGAGTCCAGTAGGCTTAGCACTCAACAGATACTGTGTTGGGGGGCCAGCCCAGTGGCACAGCAGTTAAGTGGACACATTCTGCTTCAGCAGCCTGGGGTTCGCCGGTTCACATCCCCGGTGTGGACATGGCATCGCTTGGCAAGCCATGCTGTTGGAGTAGGCGTCCCACATATAAAAAGTAGAAGAAGATGGGCATGGATGTTAGCTCAGGGCCAGTCTTCCTCAGCAAAAAGAGGATTGGCAGCAGATGTTAGCTCAGGGCTAATCTTCCTCAAAAAAAAAAAAAAAGATGCTATGTTGGGAAGAAGGATTTGAAAGTGTTTGGCATCTAGATAGTGGCTGAAGCTATATGATTGTTTGTGAAATTTCTCTGGGAAAGGGCAAAAGGCAGGAACTGAATAATAAAGAATTCCAGCAGCTGAAGGAAGTAGAACCTAATTCCCATTGTAACCTTGGAAAGTGAACCCACCTCGTAATGAGATGAGGAAAGTGGTTTAGTTAATAGATGGATTCTATAATTAAAAGAAAAAGAGATCCCGAAAGCTGCTGTTATTCTTTATAATAACCCAA